ATTTTGCATTCCGAATTGCTGACCATCTCCCATACCCCATTGTTGATAGCCCGGGTAATTAGACCCGCCGTTGTTATTGTAGCCCATCGAGTTATAATATGATTGATTATTATTCATTCCACCCATCTGTTGATAGCCACTACCGCCAGGATATGCTTGCGGCTGAGACGGTTGACCTTGCTGATAATAGGGCATAGTAGTTGGCTGTATTGATGGGTGAGTCTGTTGCTGCATTGCTTGATTTTTCTGAACTTTGGGCACATTTGGTACATTGGACCTAGTCGGTATCTGTTGTCCTTTCCCATCATTTGTGTGTGTTGATTTAGGATTAGTTTTCTGATTTGAATTACTCTGTTGCAATGAGCCCATCAAATTGGCAATTAAATTTTGGGTATCGCTCAGTGATATATTAAGACCAGCACGATTAAAAGTCAATGCATTTGGTGATGATGATACCGGAATAATAGGCGCTGGAGCTTGTACAGGAGCCGGCTTCTTTTGGGAACGAGATGCGCTGGGCTCAAGGCTTAACATAGATTCTCCTTTAGATTGACGTGAATTATCACTTACTTTTCGGAATGCCGCCTTAAACACATCATCTACATTATAATCATCATCTTCGTCTTCATCATCTAGACTAAATCTATTTGGATTCGAAACACTAGCACCACGACGTCGATCATCATCGTCATCATCGGAAATGCGACCACGTCCTTTGCTAGTACAAGTAACTGGAGACTCATCAAAACGACTATCACGAGTGCGCGATCTTTCTCGGGGATTGGACTTACTTGTACTAGCTGAGGGTGATGAATAAGCAGCTTCAGTTAGATCAGCCAGGTTAACAAATTTTCTCAGTTTTTCAACACGTAATGGGTCAGCTGTTTCCAATTTCTTTAGATGTGCTATCAAATGATGTTGCTCCTCACTCGACAAGTGCTTAAAGTTTTGCAAAAGTGTTTGTAGGTCAGAGTCCGTTAATGATTCCAACATGTTGTTAGCACCATCATTCTTTGCATCTTTATCAACTGTCTCATTTGAAGCGTCATTCTCATTGATGTGTCCACGAACATTCCCGGTACCTATTTCATTTTCCGTCAACTCTTCAACAATAGTCGGGAAAGCAGCCAATGCAGTAGAGGTTGTAGATGACGATGGTACATATATACCTAATTGAGCTAGCAAAGCTGCAATTTGTAAAGCTTTACCATCCAATTCTCGTTTTTCTTTCGATAATTTTACGAATAAAAGGAATATGTAAATCAACTTATCCATATCCTCGGTGGATACATCCTCGCGTCCTTGAAAGACTAAAGCGGCAGCCAATTTGGTGGAAATAACTTGGCGATCGAATGGTAAATCTTTAATACTAAAACTGTCTGATTTCTTGACTTTAATGGCTGATTCGCCATTATCGTTAGTTTTTGCAACCTCAGTGTTAATATTATTTGATGAGTTACCTAAGTGGGTGTTAAAAATAGAAAAACATCATTTAATATTTGAATGCCAAAATGGAAGACATACTATATTATGAAATATTTTAGCTTTTACTGTTTTGTTTTTCTTTGATATTTGGCTTCTCTTCGTCACATTATAATATTTTCACTTACACTTAAAACTTTAGTACGGATGCACGAAGTTGGCAAAAAAAGGAATCGGTTTTTAAGTAGGAAAAAAAAAACGTAAATAAAGCGTTCTCGCAAATCTTCAAATGCTTAGACAAGCGACGGGACGGTCGAAATATTTCACAATTCACTTCGTTTAAGTATGAGTATAAAACTAAGCTGATTCAATAGTTAAAAAAACACTTGCATTTTAGCAAAAACACCCTTTAGATATACGAATATACTTAAATATGTATTCATACATTCTATATAGAGGTTTACCACTCTAAAAATTTTGAATTGGTGGTACGATAGAACGATTTAAAATTGTATAAATGTTATAAAAAAAAAAAACATTTTATCACAACACAACTTATAAACTCGGAAATTTCAATTTACACTTTTCCCCGTGTCACATCGTGTTTTTTTTCTCAAATAGGTTATTTTACCTTAACTTTATAAAGTAAATAGAGGTTATATAACATAGTTCATATACAATTATGCCTTATATACCTACGTTCACACATGTGAGCCACTTTCTTAATTTTTATTTATTTGCTTCATAATTATATTCAATATAGAATATGTTATATTTTAACGTTATATATACATATATGTATATATGTACATATATATATTAAAGTTTTGTACTTACTCTTTCGAAATGATTGATACTTACCTTTGGTTGAAACCTGATGAATTACAGTAGCAATATTTTGTATAGCTTTTTTTACAGCTCTGATTTTTTGTTGATCGTCTAGCACGTCTGCTATTATTGTACCTTTCAATTTTTCTTTGATAGTTTCAAAAAATACCACGTGGTCCTCATTAAACAACAAATCGTCTGCAGAATTTGCCTTCACCTTCTCCAATGCCAAGGCCTTGCCCAACAAATCAACTACTTTTGGCCCAAGACTGCCCAGATGGTCCTCAAGTGCTGTAAGCAAACGCAATACAGCAACAACCGTGAGTGGTCCATTGTCTTCAGGCTCCGCTTCTTCTCTGGTCGTTGCAGATTTAGAATTGGGTGATGGTGAACGTTCATATTTTGGATATTGGTGAGGTTCGAGAATGCGATAATGTGATGATCCAGCAAAATGTGCTGAAGATACAGCTGAAAATCTTCCGCGTGGTGGATATGATGAACTGAAATACTCACTTTCAACAACGGATGGTGGAAAATTTCGTGTTGGATGGCGATGACGGTGGGAATGCATGGGATATGCATTATACTCATCCGAAAGTGGACTTTTTGATAATGATGAGGAACGATCACGTGACCGCTTATAATCACGACCACGTGAGATACGTGGCGACTTGGATCGGGAACGACGCGAACGTGAATTCGATCGAGAATGTGTACGTGTTCGGAGATTTCTACCGCGAACCGGTGATTCATCGTCACTTATATTAATAATATCGCCTGAATTTTTGGAACGTTTTGAGGCAATGTCAAGGCCACGATCAGAAAGCTTTGGTCCTAAAACATGACCTCCAGATGTTATACCTACAGCATTTCGACCAATATGTACTTTGTATTTTTCCTTCAGCTGGTCGACCATCTCCTCTGCATCCTCTGGCAGACCAAGTTTAACTTTAATTTCTTTCTTCTTTTTTTCTACTTCTGAGTTGAACAAATCCTTCATGCGTTTAGTCCAAAAAGCAATCCACTCAGGTTTGTAATCGTATTTATTCGGGTCTGTTTTCTTTTCCATCTGTAACTCCTTATAACGTCGGTTCCAAAATTTCTTCCATTCATCAGGATATAAAGGATGTTTCTCCGGGTTCTTGTCATAATCTTGTTGAATTTTTTCCATTTGTTTAAGCTGTATTTCAAGCATACACTTATATTTTTCCCACTTATACTTTTCTTGTGCAATATGCGATGCCTGCAGCGATAGTTCTTTTGGTGTTGGGAGCTTCTTTTCAGCTTCCTTACGATCTTCGCTTCGTTCTTCTTCGAAAGGCGGCGAGCGTCGGACTCGCGGCAACACCCGATAAGCAGGTGATTGTTCCCGTTTTTTTAATTTTTTCGAATTTGATGGTCCATCGGAGTCACTTGAAATTTCGTCCAAGTCGTCGCGGTTTGATTTTACTGGAAAGTCTTCATTTATACGTTTCGGAGCTTTAATAGTTATTTGTAAAGTTTGTTCCATCTTGTTCGTAGTTGAGCTCGAATTGGGTTCCCAAAGAGATCGATCGATCACGTCAAGAAAGTTAGGACCATTTCGTTCGTCAAAATGAAATTTATTATTAATTTCTCCAACAAATTTGGCTTTCATACGACGAAAGTCATCGCTATTAGCAACCATTAACTTTAAACGACCATGGTGATCTTCTACAGCTTTAGATAATTTTTGCACAACACTTAAAAGGATCTGATGCGAATTCGGTTTGTATTTGACAGGATTGAATTCACGTACCGCCGTTGGGAAATGTTTCTCTAGATACTTTAGGCGATGATTGTAAGATGTCCAATGTTGCATTATGGTACGTGGATCACCACGCTTATCACAAAGCACACAAAAGTAACCAGGTTCACGACGGTCATCTTCGTGCAATTCAAGTGTATACTCAAGACCAACCAGAGCATTACCTTTGTATTGATCAATTGCCTTTTGGATTTGGGGGTCTCGATTTATTTCATCCTCAAAACCAGGCGGTACTGGTTCTCCCGCAATTATATTCATATTTTCACAAAATAACACAATTTCTAATACACTAGTTCTAAACTTTTACGCGTTGTAAACTATAGCAAAACTCGTTAACAAAATTAGGAAAGGTTGAAATTCTCAAGATATTGGGTTATATGTATGTAGTAGCACAAAGAATAATGCAAATATTGTTGAATATCTTCTCTAATTAAGATACAATAAAACGAAAGTATATTTGTCATTTAATCTTGCTCAACACAAGTAGAAAATTGTATTTTTATAAAAATTCTATTACACTGAAAAGACGCCTGAAAAAATTAATATGTATATTTTCGGCTTTTTTGTATGCAATGTCCTCAAAACGCAGTGTTGCATATCGATTTCCCATATTTTCTTCTATTACAATTCTTTTGCTAGAACCAAGTGGTGAATTAATAACTATTTTCACATATCTGCTATTAGTCAATTTTAGGGCATTCACTATTTGTCTATTGTTGTGTACATAATATATCAGCAATGTTGTTTTTTTGTTTTGCACTTTTGACACATGCAGACTATGAAAACGGCAAAGTACAAATTAAATGAATCTAATAAGAAAATTAAACCAAAAACACTCATTTAACACTGAAATCATATGAAACTTTAATATGTGATTTAATGTGTTTATTTACAAATGCAATTTTACATAAAACAACTTATTGCTAACACTAATAAATACTTAGCTGAAAAGGGTTAAAAACTCTTGCCTTTACAGATTTTATTTACTTTTGTTTCTAACCTAGAACATATACAGTTATTATTAAAAGTGATATAGAGATAATTAGAAAAATAATAGTAGGTGACCAAAATATTACACATTTTAAATTAAAACGGTAAATTAAAAATACGGCAGAATTTTAATTATTTTGGTCAGAGTTTTTCTAGCCCTTCTACTACCAACTGAACAGGACATACAGAACTCATATGGGTGCTTCTAAGCTACTCAATAGCTTGCAATTTTCGAAGCGAAATCGCTTAAACAACAGAATCGCCAAGCACAAATGAATTGTAATCGCCATATCATTGTGTGCACTTGTACGCATACATTCTAAATTCTAATAGTTTCAGTTATCTTAAGCTATATGAAAGTATTTGGACTCTTATTTGTTTATGATTTTAAAATATTGCAAAAATCTTAGTCAGGCATATCAATACTGATTATGGGCATCACTGGTTTCATGTTATCATTTTTGGCTCCCTTTTTGCTCTTTTTATCGTGCTTGTCGAAGTCTTCTGTATGTGCATTACTAGTAGAAGCATCCAAAGGAACTGATTGCGCAGCTGCTGACCGATCCACGTGATAAGATATATTACCATATTCCTGTAGGAAAGGCATGGCCGATAACAAAAACTGGTGGAAGGATTTACGTATTCCGAACCACCATTTGTTTCCACCTTTTGCACTAAAACTTAGTCCAATTAATGCAGATAGTGAAATCATTAAAGGACTGAAAACAATCATATAAGGAAACTTTAGCTCTCCTTCCAGTTTATCACAAATTACAACCTAAAAATAACATTATGTTATCGTATTTATCATATATGTTAAATGTGTTATAATTCACACCTGAAAACAAAGCAAAGGAAGTACTGTGCAAATATTTCCTACAGCTGCATTCAAAGCAGCTCGCTTTTGCTGTAAAGATATTTCCGGTGCACGCATCATAATGCCGCAAAATATTACATTGTATAGAACACCTATAGAGATATTTTAGTTAGGAGCAAAATTTAAATTTGGTTTACTTACTGACTAAGCTCAAACAAATAACTATCCACATTGGTACAAATACCACTTCCCAATTCCAGTTGACGAATTGGTCTAATTTAAGAGGCAACGACACGAACTGCAATGCGTTAACCGCCAAAAATAGCTCCAGCTCAAAAGAACGATCGTGTTTAACAGCCCACACACAAGCTCCGACACTCGCTACCGACCCAAATATTAATGGTATGAAAACTAGCACCCAGAGATGTCGGCCAGAACTTAATTTGTCACAAGCGAGCAATTCGAACATGAGTAAAATAAGATGCAGTGAGAGGGATATCAGCATTGCCTTGAATTGCGTGTACGAGTCACCTTCAAGTCTACAATAAAAGGAGAGAACGTGATATTGAAATTCGACTTGATTAGCCAAAAGCATCGCACTACCGATAATGTGGGTAACGGCACCAAACTACAGCACCGACTGCGGCACCCAAAATGGCGATTCCTTTCCATATCCATAATGGCATAAAAATGGCCCAATATGGCCAATCTAGGAGAAATTGTTGAGAACAGTGTAATTCAATGAAAGATTTTTGAAAATCTTACCAATGCCACCATCTAAGCGGAGAGCAAACAATATTATAAATCCAAGCAAGCTGCAGTGCACTACGAATTTGCTGCATGAGTAAAATTAAGAATAGCAAACACAACATTAGTGATCTAAGATATACTATCTATACTTATAAGTATGTGTGTATAAGCTCAGAAATATCTCAAAGCCATTTCATTCAAAACAAAGCATTGGTTTCAGTTCATTACCATTGCTAACATTACAATTTTGGGAGCTACTTTGTGCTCTGCACCAGTGAATTTATATTCGCATTAGCTCAAATATATTCATTACAATCTTCAAAACGCATGTTTAATATTGTTTTTTCACGAAACATTTGCTTACCTGGGATTAAAATCCCTAAAAAATGACTGCAAATTCATAACCACCTATTCCCCTTTGCGTTCCAAGGTTAAAGCGATAACCAAAAAATCTTTGTTAGGAAGTGATTGTCCCTTTATATAAATTTACAGGATGCTGCCAACGATTGAATAGTTACTGAAGCTCTTAATTTTTCATTTGGTTGGAGGCACTTACAGATTACATAACTATATAAATCTTGTTTGAATACTTGGCATTTTTAACAATATTCATCCGCTTAAATCATTTTCAGAAGAAAAAAGTTTAACTTTTCTTTCGCCTGTGTTGCTACAAAACAATAAAACCGAATAAAATAATCATCAAAGACAATGTTGACGTATGTCAAAATAAAAGAAATAACAATACTTAGGGTTGCCAGCTCTTCATCAAATATTCTGGTGCAGATACCCGCTTCTTTTCCATAAACAAAATGATTTTTCCGAAAATATGAGCTATAAAATATAATAATTCTATAGATATAGTTAAACTGAACGTCGTCTGACACAGCACTATTCAACGACGCTTCTATATACTCTTTTTTTTTTCTATTTGAGTAATTTTTTTGCAGTAACTTTTGATTAAAAGCTGGAGATAAGAAATAGCAAAATGTTATCTCTGCAAACTCAACACACACGTGGTGGAAATTCACCCAACTGTCAAAACTAACGTCATTGCACTTTTTCGTTCTTTTCATCGGAAAATCTGTGAACTTTCCCACTTTTTGTTTCGAAATTCGGGAAAGAATTTAATCAGACCTGTATAAAAAGCGTGATAAATTGCAGATATAGGTGTTTAAATTGAGAAACTTGAGAGTGTAAATAAATATGGGGAATGTTTTGGCCGCATCGTCTAGCTCTAGCTCATCGCTGGACGCTGCCAAATTGGGATTACCAGAATTGTCAAGTCCGTCGCAGAGCCCTTCCGCTACTTCAGCGACGTCTGCGGCGCCTTCTGCCGTCGACGGAGGAGATATAAAGGAACAAAAGCTTGAGAATCCTGGAACTGTTGAAGAACTGCATAAGAAATGTAAAGGTGAGCGTGTGTGTTCTTTCAAGTCACCGGTTTAGTTCCACTACAAGTGATGACATAACCCAAACGCATGTGAAAGAATGGTGTTTTCATGTTATTCGTTGTGGTGGTAGAAATGACAGCTCAAAAGTGCTGTATGCTGCTTCACATACACCAAACAAACCCCTCACACTTCATTTCCTTTTTTATGTACAAAATTTCAAGTTTATTAATTGTGATCTGATATCTTTATCCTTTGGTACTTTGTAGATATTCAAGCTATGACCTTTGAAGGTGCGAAAATTATGCTGAATAAAGGCTTAAGTAATCATTTTCAAGTTTCGCACACTTTAAATCTCTGCAATACACAACCAAGTGGGTACCGCTTTGGTGCTACTTATGTAGGTACCAAACAGTTCGGGCCGTCAGAAGCTTTTCCAGTGTTGCTGGGTGACATTGACCCTTCCGGAAATCTAAACGCCAACGTTATACACCAATTCACTCCGCGCATTCGTTGTAAATTCGCCTCGCAAGTAAGTGAATACTGACTGACTGAAAATTAGTTATTGTTTTATTTTTTTGATACAATTTAATTTCCATGTTTTATTTCACAGATACAAGATTCTAAACTCACAGCTGCCCAGTTAACAACTGATTACCGTGGTGATGACTATACAGCCTCCCTAACCGTTGGCAATCCAAACATTTTTAATAATTCTGGCGTCTTTGTTGGTCACTACTTACAGTCAGTAACTGATCACATCGCCCTTGGTGCAGAACTTGCCTACCAATATGGTCCTAATGTACCCGGCGGCCAAATAGCTGTGGTATCAGCAGTTGGTCGTTACACACAAGCCGATTCTGTGTGGTCGGGAACTTTGGGACCTGGTGGCATTCATATCTGTTATTATCAAAAGGCCAGTGAACAGCTGCAAATTGGTGTTGAAGTAGAAACTAGTCTAAGAATGCAGGAGGCTGTTGCAACGATTGGTTATCAGGTTGATTTGCCGAAGGCTGATCTCGTTTTCAGAGGTAAAAACGAATTTAATATAAATCACCATAAATTTTTAATTATATAATTTATAAATTGTTTTGCAATCGTAGGTTCATTCGATTCCAACTGGAATGTGTGCGGTGTGTTGGAAAAACGGTTACAACCGCTTCCGTTTTCATTTGCTTTGAGCGGACGCTTGAATCATACCAAAAATCAGTTTAGACTCGGTTGCGGCTTGATAATTGGATAATTAGCTTCTCAGTTAATAGGTGTAAAGGGACTGCAGCAACAGTTGCAGAGATAAAGACGGAGAGTTTAGTATAACAACAACTACAGTAGTATCAAACAACACAACAACAGTAGAAGGGCTGGCAGAAAATATCAAAACAAATATACGTTTATCAAAGACTACAACTCTTATTTACGAGAACAATGACTATTCAAAACACTTACATTTACAATTCGTAGTTTTACTTCTTCCGTAGAGAAGAATACCGATAACGGTGAAATATTGGTGGCACTTTTATCAACTTTGAACGAGATTTAAATTGCATCAGTGATTATTAAATTTAAACAGTCGTTCTATTTGTCAAAAATTCACTAATGTGCAACTCTACAATAACACTTTTAAGTAGATTTCACTTTTAACAGCAAGGAGCGACAGCAAAATATGGAAAAGAATCAACAATTTAAGAAGAGCAGCCATACGAGAATTGACACAAACAACGCTAATGCTCTGTCCAATTTTAGCAAACACGTCATTGTTGTTACAGTTAATTAAATTTGATTTACAAACTCCTTTTTGTAGTTAAACAATTTGTTATCAACAAAACCGAAATTTGCCTTTTAATTGTTTGAAGAAATTTTGCTTTTAACAACAAAATTTAAATTAAAAACATTCAAATTTACTGTTAAGAATAAATAAATGAAATATAGAATTATACATACATAGATATGTTATTATCTGCTTGGTCTGACTGGTCTGACTGGTCTGACGAGTTGCCCACGGACGATGCGGAGAGAAGGCAGCACCCAGCTCACTACTTAAACGGCAGCAGACGGCAGTTATGTATTTATGTAATTAGACATTTTTGAAAAGTAAACCGAGTTTATGCTTAATTGCTACTTTGTCTTGTTGTGTAAACACATTCGTTTTTGTTGCTTGCGAGTGTCAAACCAAAAATTAGTACAAATGATTTGCATTTGTTTGATTGCCAAACTCCTTAACAAATACAAAAACAAAAAAAAGTTCATTTAATAAATAATACTGCTATTGCGAACTGTGCAAAATACTGATCTATGCATTTGAATGCTTTTAATTATTAACTTAATTTACTGCATTTGCAGTTGCAAGTGCCGAAATGTGTTTTTTTCTATTTTAGTTTGCCTTTAGTTGTTAATTTTGCCAGGAGTGAAATGTCTCTGGCTGGCCACGATGTGAGCTGGTAATGGAATAAATACCTAACAAATAACACAAAGAGCATTAATAGTTAAAGTTGTAAAAAGTAAAGGAAATAAACACACAAACAAACAAAAACTGAAAATTATTATAAAAACAACAATTATACTAGTACACCAATGGCATGCGCCAGCTCAGTTATTTTCACGCATTCAGAAATAAAGTTGAAAATGTTAAGTTGAACTAAATGGTGTAACGGTTTTTGTTATATGATCAGTGCAGAAGAAGGAGTTATGGAAAGTGATCTCCATGTGCAATCCGGTAGACGGGTTGTCGAAAGCAAGCCATCTCTCTTCGATTGGAGTGCCTCAATAAAGCTGTTTACTTCAGACTCGATTAGGTGCGCAATGGCCTCATTTACGGAATTTAAGTCCCCAGGGCCGATGGCATCTTTCCAACACTTCTGCAAGTGGGGGGTACACAACCAGCGAAGCTGCAACGAATTGCTTAGATCTGCATATCGGGTTACTATGTACGTGCTCGACAGCAGCACTGGAAATGATGCTGGATTTCATACTGCTACACAAGTAATTAATCAAGCAGTTAAACACACAATGCTTCAAACGACATCAGAAGCCCTAAGCCATGAAATACTGCTGGCTCTTCTGCCAAAGGACACCATTAACAAAACAGTAAACTGTTGATTCGACGTTGAAACTATTGCTAAGAGGGAGCACCATCAAGTGAGATACCGAAAGCTCGAAAACGCCAGAGGGTATTGTTGCAGGAGTCACAGGACCACTTACCATGCCTACATTCTCGTAGTTAGTTTTCCAAGCGAACTTTTATGCTAAAAGTCGTTGTGTAAAAACCTCCAACGCAACTATCGTTACGAAAGTATTTCCATACTCAGCGATTGTCAAGCGGCACAGAAAGCGAACTCCGCTCAACAGACTATATGATCGTAACCAAGTGCACATTATTTGCCTGCCTGGTCCCAAGGGTATAGCCGGGAATGAACTGACTGCCGAGCTCGCCCTCTCTGCAGCTTCCACAAGAGGCAAGAGTAGGTAGGGAGAGACATTGGCAACAACTTTAATGTATGTGCCATGCCAGGTTGCTAATGGGTGGTTGCAACATCAGCAGATTTAAAATAGTAATGAAGGAGACGAATTCCGGTGAAATAAATTCCGCACTCTTCTCGCTTTTTACACCACCCACTGCAAACTCAGGCATCAATTACACAACATGGCCCTGGTGTCAGATCAGCTGCTAATAGTCTGCACATCAGTCTGCAGATGCAGCATTAAGACCCCCTGGTTCATGTTTTCGAATAGGGATCGCATCGCCTCAATAGCACTTAGCAACACATTGGGCTTCATCTATGTGCTGGCGCTAAGTGATTCGTTGTGACTTAGGTGAGGGCACATTATATCATATGTCGCGGTGCATCCATCATTTTCCAATCTAATCTTATTTAATCTTAAACTTGCGAAGTTTGATATACAGGCAAACTTACATACATACATACTATGTAAGATAAGATAATGCTTTGCACTTAAGCTCCGACATTCTCGAATAGATACTATTTTAATTGCTGCTGATATTTTAGTTCACAAAAACTTTCCAGAGTTATTACACCTGCTCGATTAAGTTCTGTAACTCGAATTATTTTCTCTAGCAGCTGACTGAAGAAGTCACACGATAAGACGTCGTCTAGTTTGTAACCTCGTTTGGTATCGAACGGCTCGGAGAGGCCTTCTCGATCCTGATGAAGCTTTATTTTTTGCGCAACGTCAGGGATACCAAATTCAGACATAGCGACATAAAGGCAGTTCCTTTTTGTACTGTCAAAAGCAGTATTGAAATCGACGAAGTGGTGGTGTGTGTCGATTCTCTTTTCACTCTTTTTACAGATTTGACGCGAATATCTGG